AGCATTGACTCAAAACCTAGATGGCGAGGTCAGCTGGCATGGTCTCCTCTGCCAACATGAAGGGCCCTTCTCTGTACCAATTCTGTCCACCAGGACCTCCAGGTACCTGCTGGAAAAGCAGCGGACCACATTTCCACTGCCCTCCACATCCAGGCCAATGGTTGAGACAAAGGAATCGTGTAAGGCAGCTCTGGACTGACAGTGTTGACCTGGTGCACTACTGCATTTTAAATATGGTGCCAGCAGCACTGCGAATCCTAGCTAATTCTGGTGGTCATGAGTATGCCTGCCTAACTATCTATAGTATACATTACATGAGCTAATGTAGACCGAAAAACTAGAAATGGCATCAGTTATTCCAGTTACCATTTGATTATAAATGTTTAATTTCAAAGATGTGGGCAGTATTTTGGTGCAACAGCATCTCATTTAGAATTGACTATTATGCCAACAGAACTCACACAAGATGCATGCTTATATGGGTCAAGAGGTCAGAGATACATTTCCATAATATAAAATTTCATAATTCAAGAAGGCACCAAAAAGTTTACTTCTTTAGATACTTCCTGTTCTTTAGACCATAGTGCTTGGATCATTATCTTCTCTACCTGACATTGTTTGTGAAGAGATATTTTCAGCTATCTCTTCTTCAGCCAAGACACAATTAGTAACTTATGAAGTGCTTAATCCAGGTTGACATTCTTAACCTTTAGTTACATGTTTTATAAACTGGAATTATCTCAATAGAAGCAATTAATTTGTATCACACATGTAAATAAAATGTACATAAAAATTATGCTAAGTATTGAGCCAGATGTAGGCCAGACCAAGTAAGGACAGTCAGTTTCCTTCACTGAAGGACACTGTGAAACTGATGCGTTTTTACAGCAATTGATGACAACTTCATGGTCATCATGTCTGTGACTAGCTTTCAATTCCAGATGTGTTAATTATTTGAGTTTAACTTCCACCAGCTACTATCAGTTGGATTTTAACTCTATGGCCCAAACATTAGCCTAGGTCTTTAGATTACAAGCCCAGTGACAATGCCACTACGCCACCACCTCCCCAACACAGATACTGTTATAGAAAAAGGATATTGTTTCTCTGTGTCTAATAGAGATAAAGGTTTTGCATGTCATGGTCAGAGGTTCAAATATTTCAAACTATCAAGTATAAAAAACAAAACTGGAAATGCTGGAAATATTAAGTAAATTTAAAAGCACTGCAATTACAAATGAACAAATCGCTGTAAAATAAAGGCAGAGTACTTGCTTATTCTCAAGCTGACTTTTCTGCCAAAATGGAGGAAAATCGTCTTCTGTGTTATCAAGACAATATTGCTTTGGAATCATGGAGTGTGATAATTAATTTCACATCTGGCCCATGGAGGCAGCAAAGACTTTACTAGTCTGAAATCTAGGAACCAAACTCATGACATGCCATGTAATCCATTCAATGCTTCAATGAATCATTAATTCAGTTTTATCATTTATCTATACAGTCACCTTGTCTTTTCTAGATCAAAATGTTGTCTGACCTTTGATTTGTCTCCCATCATAGAGAACATGAAAACTGAATTGTGACCTAGCAAATAAATCATCAATGAAACATTACAGAATGTTGTCTATAGTTTGGGACTCCCTTCCTTTTGATATCTAAGACCTTATGGACTAAAGTAATTTTTAATGCGGGCAAATGCTAACCTAAAATAGCTGCTTGATCACCTGACCACAGATTGCAGCAAGTCTAGTAAACCCATATGGAATATATAAATTGGCTGTACTGAAATTACCATTTCACTCAAAACCAGTGAAACTAGACAACCAAGTCAGTGTTAAGAATTTGCATGTCCTGTCTAATTCACACTTGCATGATAAATTCACATATTGGGAGACTAAAAGTTACCTGGGGAGTATTCAGTTTGGAAAGACAATAGAGTTGGACCTGGACATATACAAATGAACCATATTTCAGTAGTTTATTTGACGTTGCAGGGAGAAAGGAAAAATGGTTCATAACAATAGAATCTGGGTCTGTCTGTCTGTCTCTCTCTCTCTCTCTTTCTCCCCTGCAATACCATATCTCAGAAGAAGTGCCCAGTACAAAGTGAATTTGGGAAAAGACCCATTCTACAAATATCACTACTGCTGAAGAAACATGACAGCAGATAAACAATCCTGAATTCAGGATTCACTCTCACAACTCAAGAACTCCACAAACTTTAAACTGCTCCTGCGTTTATTTTCCTGTTTGCACTAGACATACTTTCCCCTTCTAAAACTTATCATCTGTGCTTGTGTGTGTGTCGTTGATATTGTATTTTATGATTTTCATTCTTAGAGTTAATGGGTAATAAAATTCCTCTTTCTTTCACTCAAGAAAACCTTGGCAACTAGCTCATCACTTCCTCATAAACCATTGTTTAATTGAAGTGTGATATCCGCATGCTGCAAAAAAATAAAATATTAGTTGCAACCAACCTTAAAAAAAGGGAGATAGTAGGAACTGCAGATGCTGGAGAATCCGAGACAACAAGGTGCAGGGCTGGATGAACACAGCAGGCCAAGCAGCATCATAGTTCCGACTATCTCTGATTCAATTTTAACCCCACTGCGAAGCCTCTTCTAAGGATGCCAGCCTCTCTGCTCCTATGATGCTGCTTGGCCTGCTGTGTTCATCCAGCCCTGCACCTTGTTGTCTTAAAAAAAGGGAGGCTGATTAGCCTTCATCACCAACCCATAACGTTAAACACTATTTTCTTTCTCCCTATTTTCCACTGTGCCCAAGAGAAAAAATAATTTTGCTAACATCTATTCTAATACATTGGCAGGATCTCAACACTTCTGAAACTGTTGTGCTGATGGATATAAAAGTGGATCCTAACCATCTTGGTGTCAGGTGACTGCATGATGTTGTAATCTCAGAATACAATCGATTGAGAAAATGCCCTATGTTTGCCACCCATTAAGAACAGTGGAGGTGTCCTGATATAGAGGCCCAATCAGAGATCCTGAAGACTGACAGCCTTTACTGGGAGAATTCAAACACTTGCTGATATGCCTAGGAAAACATAAGGGCGCCTCTGCAAGTTTAAACATTAAGATTACCCACAGCAGTCAGGCCATCATTGTGGGGAGTTAATCCCTGCAGAGGACTGCCTTGGCAGTAGCTTTGGCCTTTTAATCTCTTTTGTGGTGGAGGTGTCAAGGGGAGGTGCCCTTGGCACCCTTCAGCCTGTTGCTGGTTGCTGCCTCCAAGAATTGACTAGGCTTCAGTCTCAGGAAGGAGCTTGTCCAATGCCAGTAAAGCCTTGGCTGCATTTTGCCCACAATCAGTTCAGTTAGTCCCTAAATGGTCAAATTTGCTCACGGTACTACTGTTAGTATCTGCTGCCTCATTGACTAATCCTTAGGAAGAATCACTGAAAGACAAGAACGTGCCATCTTCAAATCTTACTCTCAATCCTGCCTAAAAGTCCACCTGCATGTAGCCAGGAATGTTCTGACCATTATTTTTCAATTCTTTAACACAGTTTCCTTTCTCCTTACTATCTCATGCTACTTTCAACTGAAGAATTGAGCACTGTTTCTTGGTTTACTCAAATTATTTGATTAAATCAAGCAGATAGAAAATATCAGAATTATAAATTGTCTCAAAAATACCTTATTGTGTGTAAACTATTAGATGTTGCTTCATTTCCCTTGTTAAACACACTTGCCTGAATGCTTCCCATGAAGAGAAAACTAATGCTCTTGTGGCCCATCGTGAATGTCCATATCTCTGAGCCAGAAGGCTTGAATTTAAGCCTGATCTTCTCCAGAGGTATATAATGCCATCTCTGAACATGTTGATTCAAAAATGGCCACAAGGCAAACTGTTTGGTAATGGAGATAGTAGGAACTGCCGATGCTGGTGTATGACATGTTTTTAAAAAAACACAATGAGGTTGATCAATCATTGATAAGAACCTAAATGTAGTTTTAATTTACATGAATCACATTTCATCTAATAGATTTATTTTCATTTTAGAAATATTGCTGTCTCTGATTATTCAACATTAGGTTATATTGTTGCATTACATCTAAGGAGGCAACAAAAAAAATCCTTAGCTCTTATGAGGCTTTAGCTTCTTAACAAAATAAAAACTTTGCTCTGCAATTATCCCATTTACAGTAATGTTACTGCATAGCCTTTAGCAATATGGTTCTTTTAGTGGACAACATCTGAAAATATCAATTAATCCAATTATGAAACAATGCATCTGAATCAACAATTTTACAGATTAAATTTGTTCCGACTTCTTTGTAGTTGTAAGTATGCTGGTCAGTAGTTGTAAGTTGGAATTTAAGAGGAAGAGAGAGCATCAGATAGTAACATAATGGAGGCTGAAAGTTGTGCGCAGGAATGGGCATTTGCAGAACCAATAGTTACTGCAGCAAGGCAGCTGTGTTTGAGAATTATTATTGATGTCTTCAGTGAAGCCTAATTCACTGCTTGCCAAGCTATCTTGCTTTAATAGCAAATGTCTGTCTTCCCTGCCCTTTCTTAATGTTAATTTATTTTGTTTCCCTTTAATAAAGAACCACATTGAAATTATGTGATGATATATTAACAACAGTTTCAGATGTAATATTATTGTTCATTGACTTCAAAAAAGGACAAACACACTGCATGAATTATTGTAAATGGCAAAAGAAGGCGATACCAAGATGTATTAATATTTCACTGCACACATCCTTGTGACATTTATATTTTTCCTGATGCCTATTTAAAAACTGCATCTGAATGCCAAAAAAGGGTGAGTGGTCTGAAATATTACAAGTTTCTATGACTAAAATGATCATTCATTCATTTTGCAATGTCTTGGATATCAAAACAGTAATAGAAAAGATTCTACTACCCCAATATGTATTTTTAAAAATTACAAATATCAGATATTATAAAAATTGTCAATTACCAGTTAAATTATTTTCTTTTTCTCTTAGGTACAAAGTGGGTATTCAGCACTGAAAAGAGTAAGAAACTTCAAAAATTCAGCTTTTACATCCATCTTTAATGACTCTTAAGCCTATTAATTACCATAAGAAATAAAGAGGATCTTGGAGAATTAACACTTTAATGATATTCTGCTTCAAAAATGAATCAAAGTGATGCAACTACAATGTCAACCACTTCTTTTAATATAACACCTGAAAAGAAATGTGAACATAACTTCATGGATATGGAATGCTTCATGATTCTGACAGAAGAACAAAGAAAAGTTATTGCTGCATTGTGTTTGACAGTGGGGCCTTTTACTATTTTGGAGAACATTTTAGTTTTATGCATCATATTCTTTACTCCACAACTACGAAATCGACCTTCTTATTTGTTTATAACTAGCCTTGCATCTGCTGACCTCTGTGCAAGCATTATTTTTGTGTACAGTTTTGTCGACTTCCATGTTTTCAATCATAAGGATGAAAATTATGTTTTCTTATTTAAGCTTGGATGTGTCATTGCATCTTTCTCAGCTTCTGTGGGCAGTTTGCTGCTCACTGCCATTGACAGGTACATATGCATTCATAAGCCATCTGAATACAGGACGATTTTAACGAGGCAAAAAGCAGTGACCTGCCTTCTGTTCATGTGGTCAGTTGCTGTTTTTATCGCTTTTCTTCCTTTGATGGGATGGAATTGTGTTAAATTACAATGTAAATGCTCTGAGCTATTTCCTCGTGTAGATGAAAGCTATTTAGCTTGCTGGACTATATTTATAACTTCCCTGTTAATATTAATAATTTATGCATATATACATATTCTGTGGAAAGCCCATGTTCATTCAACCTACATGGAGAAACAAAAAGAAGGAAGGAAAGGACATGACAAAATGAGCCACACACGTATGGACATTAGACTTGCCAAAACATTGGGTCTAATATTAATAATCCTGATTGCTTGTTGGTCTCCAGTCTTGACTCTGATGATATATGATGTATTTGCCAAGGTAAACAAAGGCACCAAAAAGGTATTTGCTTTTTGTAGTATGCTGTGTTTGTTAAATTCTACAGTGAATCCCATCATTTATGCCCTAAGAAGCAAAGATATGCGAACTGTATTGTTAAATATCTTGTCACGGCAAAAGAGGCAGCTGCCATCTCCGGAAGGCAGCATAGAGTCAGATGGACATTTCAAAAACAACAACACAATTGTGACCATCTCCTCATCAGCTGAGCAATGCAACCTTGCCAATTCAAAGAATGGTCTCTGAATGATTCAAATCATCACCTGAATAATAAACATTCAGGCTGAAATAACTCCATAGAGGCTGGTATCCTGTCACCAAGTCACCCTTTAATTACATGTGCATAGTACTTGACACTGGCTTCTTTAGAGCCAGCTCTCTGAGTGAACAGAACCTCTGACACTCCTGTTTATATCTGTCAGCTAGGACTCCCTAATTGGACCAGGTTAACAGCTCCAGTGACAGAACTCATATTCTATGAGGTCCACCAGGCTGACCTCATTACAATCACCACACAGGCCAAATTGTGCACTTCAAAAGAGCTGTGCAGCTAATTTTATTGATTGTGAACATTGTTACTGGGGATTTGTTTTAAAGAAATGCTATCTCAGGCACAGTTTGGTCCCATTGCACCAAGCAATGGCACTTCCATCTGCAGATAAATAGAATTGTTTCATTTTCCATCACTTTGCTTCAGATAATTTGGAGAATTCAAACATAATGTTTGAGAGCTATTTATAGAAAAGAATAGTGCTAATAATTTCTGTGCCAAATTAATTAACATTTTGAAAACTAACATTGCATTAATTGCCAGTGAATGATCTAAATGTATGCCCATGTTTCGTAGATTTTACTATGATCTTTAATATGTAGCACAGTGACAACAGCAGATTTGCCTTTCTGTAAATTTGAAATAGCAAGAAACCTGCAGACGTTATACCGCTAACAAAAGAGAACATGATGATAAAGAGTAAACATTACAAATATTTTTTATCGGCATCATTGTTCTCATATGAAAAATTGCTATCTGATTGCAATCAATAATTTCACACCATATTGAAGCAAGAATACAATGTATAAACTTTCCCTTAGCTTTTTGTTATATATTACTTATAATGTTATGAAAAGGGATTTTAACTGTTTTTTATAAATACTAGAAGCATTGTTCTTTGTTCTAATGACTGATGCAAGAAAATAATGCTTATGTTTTACGTTTTAGATTAAAAGTTTCTTGTTTCATCCTATAGATCACTGTATATACCTGTTTTATTGAGCAGTTCAGTCTATTGGCAGCAGTGACAGCATCATTATGACAGAATTTATAGGTTCCACTATAGGTGGCCAGATAATGTGTACATTTGCCAGACCAAGTCATAACTGACCATTACTGATTTGTTCTCTTTTACTTTCCATTCATATTGAAGCTGGCGATAAGAATTAGCATTACTTTATCATTATTGATAATCTGCATGCAATATTAAGGGAAATTATGAAATAAAATGCAACAATTACATCAATGTAAATTGTTTACCCATTCCACATTTGCATACAACCAGGAAAATATATACAAATGGGGTTAGGTTCATGTATTCCAGGGAATGAGTGTGTTATTTTGTTCAGATGGTAATTATAGAGTCACAGAGTTATACAGCACTGAAGCAGACCCTTCGGTCCAACTTGTCCATGCTGACCAAATATCCTAAACTGATCTGGTCCCATTTGGAAGCATTTGGCCCATATCCCTTTAAATCCTTCTTATTTATGTATCCATCCAGATGCCTTCTGGCTGCACCACTTCCTCTGGCAGCTCATTCCATACACACACCACTCTCTATGTGAAAGTGTTGCCCCTTAGATCCCTTTTAAATCTTTCCCCTCTCATCTTAAACAACTACCCTCTATTTTTGGACTCCCCTACCCTAGGAAAATGTCCTTGGCTATTCACCCTATCTATGCCCCTCATGATTTTATAAATCTTTATAAAATCACCCCTCAGCCTCCAACACTCCAAGGAGAAGACCCAGACTGTAGCCCAAACACTCCAATCCTGGCAACATCCTTGTAAATTTTTTCTGAATCCTTTCAAGTTTAATAACATCCTTCTTATAGCAAGGGGATCAGAATTTAATGCAGTATTCTAAAATAAGCTTCACCAATGTCCTGTACAGCTGCAACATACATCCCAACTCCTATACTCAATGGACTGACCAATAAAGGCCAGCATGCCAAATGTCTTCTTCACCATCCTGTCTACCTGCGACTTCACTTTCAAGGAGTTATGCACCTGCACCCAAGTTCCCTTTGTTCAGCAACACTCCTCAGGGCCCTACCATTAATAGTATAAGTCTGCTGCAGTAACTTGGGCACCACTGACATCAGGCTCACTGGTCTATAGCTCCCTGGCTTTTCCTTACTACCTTTCTTAAATAATGGCACCATATTAGCCACCATCCAGTCCTCCAGCACCTCACTGGTAGCAATTAACGATACAAATATCTCAGCAAAGGGGCCAGCAGTCTCTTCCCTAGCTTTCCACAAAGTTCTGGGATACACCTGATTAGGTCCTGGGGATTTATGCACCTTTATGCATTTTTAAACTTTCAGCACCTCCTCTTCTGTAATATGGACACTTTTCAAGACATTGCAATTTATTTTCCCAAGATCCCTCGCTTCCATGTCCTTCTCTTAAGTAAATGCTAACGCGAAATATTCATTTAGTACCTCACCCATCTCGTGTGGTTCCGCATATAGACAGCCTCTTAATCTTGAAGGGGTCCTATTCTCTCCATTGTCACTCTTTTACCCTTATTGAAATTGAAATCACGTAATATAACATGAAACAAAGAACTGTGGATGTTTGGGACCTGGAACAAAAACAGAAATTGCTAGTGAAACTCAGCAGGTCTGGCAGCCTCTATGGGAAGCAAGCAGAGTTAACGCTTCGAGTCCAGTGATGCTTCATCAGAACTATTAGCTTGGAAAATGTAGTATTTACTTTGAATCATAGAATCCCTACAGCATGGAAGCAGGGCCTTTGGCCCATCAAGTCCACACCAACCCTCTGAAGAGTATCCCACTCAGACCCACCCCCTACTCTATCCCTGTAACCCTGCATTTCCCATGGCTAATCCACTTAGCCTACACGCTATGGACAATTTAGCATGGCCAATCAACCTAACTTGCACATCTTTGGACGGTGAGTGGAATTCGGAGTACCCAGAGGAAACCCATGCAGACAAGAGGAGAATGTCTCCAGACACGGTGGAGTCGGGCATTGTAAGGCACACTGCTAACCACTGAGCTGCCATGCTGCCCGAAAGTGAGGTTGAAGGTTGGGGGAAGGGGATAAGTGAGCAGATAGGTGGAGATGGAGACCATAGAGAGAGAGCTATGAAAGGGGTAGGGTTAACAAGGAGATTATGGCTAGCAAGACAATAGAGAAGAAAAGCTGTTTAAGTGATAACAAGAGCTAAGACTAGGAGAGAATGTGCTGTGCTGAAAACATCCCATATAATGTGATAATAGGCTGAGGAGTATGTGCGAATGAGTGACTGCTAAAAGCAACTCATGTCATAACAGCACCGGGTGTGCAGTGGGTAAAAAAAACATTCTAAGATGGATTCAGGCTCTAAAGTTATTGAACTTGATGTTGAATCCTGGAGACTGTCAGGTCCCCAAGAAGAAAATGAGATGTAGATCTTTGAGCTAATGCTGAGGTTCGCTGGAATACTCCAGCAGGCCTGCGATAGAAGTGTTGGCAAGGGAACACAATGGTGTGTTGAAGTGGCAGGCAACAGGAAGCTTGGGGTTATTTTTGTAGAGAGATTGTAAGTGTTCTATAAAACAGTCACCCAGTCTGCAATTCGTCTCCCCAGTGTAGAGGAGACCACACTGTGAACAGTGAATATAATGGACTAGTTTGAACTAAAGTCAAGATCTGTCCAAACAGTTACTTTGAAAAGAAAAAAATAAATACTTTGTAATAGACATTCGAGAATTGTATAAATCAATTAAATTATAACAGTGTGCTTAAATAGTACAACATGGATTGTGTCTGCAATTTTCTATGCAATCTTGTCTGTAACATTTCATGATATTGCTAACAGCTTTTGCACTGGTTGGTGGTTACACTGAGGTGCTAACTAATGCTGAGACAGCACTTTTTATGCTCAGTTGAAGAGTTTAACACTCATTCTGACAAGAGAAAAATATGCCCCTGAAGAGATTAATTTGTCACAATCGTCTTTGGATTGGGGTAAGCATTTCTGCCTTCATGCCGCTATTTGGGAAGCTTAACTTGTTCGATCCTGCTGTCGAAGACTTGGGCCCAGTGTGTGGAAAGAATGCATTATTTTTTCTGGGCAAATGACATTGAGGCAGACGAAAAGCAACGAGGAAGTCTCCTGACAGCATGTGGACCCGCAGCTTTCACTATTATTAAAAGCCTAACTTTCCGAGAGGCACCGGATACTAAAACCTTACAAGAGTTGATGGATTTAGCAAAACAATGTTACGACCCCAAACCTCCTCCAGTTCTGAGATGCTATATGTTTTACTTGACAGTTCGAGAACTAGGGGAATCATTGGAATTTTTGACAAGGCTAAGACGACTGACAGAGGCATGTGATTTTGGTTTAATCATAAGTAAGATGCTGAGAGATCATTTGGTATGTGGGATTATGATGTGACCATGCAGAAGTGCCTACTAGCTGAAGCCCAACTGGATTTCAAACAGGCACTACAACTGGCTTTGTCATTAGAAAATGCAGCAAGTAGAGCTTATGAGTTACAGGGTACGCAGTTGGAAGAAGACACCCTTGTCAGCCTGACTGAGCTTGGAGAACACCACTTGAGTGAAAGCAATTGCATAGCATCACTCAGGACATATTCTGAACAGAGGGAACCTAGGTCAGCCCATAGCAAAACGCCAAAACAAAGCCAAGCCTTGGCGAAAGGTTAAAATTTTCTCAATGATCCTGGCCAGCAGGCCATTCTAGTTGCTGCAGCAAAAGAGTCCCACTAGGCTTGAATTGAATAAGAGAATTCAGAGGCCAGTATCTAGGAGAGTGCACACCCTGGAAAGTCCACCAACATCTGGTTTGGAACAGTTAAATTGCTTAGCAACATCCAAATCAGAACCAATCAAAACAAATGCCTGGTTAAATAGATCACCCAGTTCGAATGGGGGTCGATACTGGTGTGGCTGTATCAGTAATTGCAGAACCAGTCTTTACCAAAATTCACTTTGGACTCCAACCCTTATGTTTGCGTATGACCTCAGCCAGGCTGAGAATCTATACTGGGGAACCACTCCATGTTAAGGATACAACTTTGTTTTCTGTCTCTTATGAGAAGCAGCTGGTTCAGGTACC